CTCGCGTTTACTCCCTATCGAAGCTGAACGGGAGATCCTGACCAGAGGTATACTTGGCGAGGAGGTGGTAGACTCGCCGCTGATGATCGACCGAAGAAAGTGACGGTTATGAGGGGCGTTCACACGCGCGTTCGGTTTGACTTTAACCCGCTCTCGGAACGGCATAAGTTCCCGGAACCTATAAACTCGGCCTATCCGTTCATTTTTACCGCTTTTGCCCTTGCATGAAAAACATTTCTACAAGCACACCTCGGAGAAAAGCCCCTGTACTCTCGATATAAATAGAGTTACAGTCCAAGAAGAGGGTTGAAATTACCCCAAGATAATCGGAGCAGAATAGATTCTTCCGTCTGTCCGCTCTCTGTTGCGTAATAAGATAGGTTTTTTGCCCGTATGAATTTCCGATTCCGCCTCGCCGCGCCGAAAACCGTCGAATACATTAGTGATTCCTAGCGGGCGATGCGTCGTAATGAATGTTTCCGGTGACAGCCGACAGCGGGGAATGCCTCCCGCGACAAACAATGCGGCTCTGTTCATCGGGACCGCTCCCAACGTGTGCACATCGGTAACATTTCGCCGTCGCCGCCACCCCGCTTACCCGAAATTCATTCCTGCCATGCCCGATCGCTTTCTTCGTTCTTCGAGGAATGCCGCTTGTTCGATCGGGATTATAGCTCGTCAGATTCTGCCTCTCGCTCGTTTCGCGTCGCTTTGAGAAACCAGAGAACAATTTGCAGATATCGCTTGTAACTACACCATTGACATTTTCGTATTGAAATGCCGCGGAGTTGCACAGCCGAATGAAGAAGAGAGTTGTGCCGCTCATTTGCAGTGTTCCCTTGTCTTGAATATATATGTGGACGTAAATTACTTTTTCTTTTCGTACCACCCGCGCGGTTAGATTTACGACTGCCCACTGAGCGGTAGCACGCAAGAGCCTCGTGATGCGTTGCAAACCACCCTCACATTAAATACATACATTTCTACGGAACTTTGAAGATTCCGAAAGGTATCCATCCGATAGCTCGGTAACATTTTCTACAGAAGAATTCAGCAGATTGTCTCCTGCGCGGAGCATCCGAATCGGCTGTTACATTGTGGGAGGTCTTAACATATCCAAGTCGAAAATTGGCCGATCTGTTAGCGATTCGGTATGCACGCGTCCGAGAAGCGGGGCGCGAAACTACACTCGTGGTCTTCGTTACATGTGTGCTCACATTTCGACTGCTCTACCGGCAGATTCGATGTTGGAATGCAGGGCCACTTGTAGGGGCCACCCAATACCCGCGGAGTCCATTTCCATTGTTGGCGGCTGTATCGGTAGCCGAGCCGCGAGAATTCCAAAGCTTCGTGTGGAGATACGATTCGTTCGAACCGCTCGCATCGCTCACATTATTTATTACAGTGATCCATAATCGTGGCGAAGATATCGTAAAACGTGATGACACCTCACATGTACGTAAAGTGATAGATTCTAACTGATCGTCTAAAAAATGCGACATAATACGACTTCAACGATCACTGATTTTAACTAATAACAAACCGTTACGATGCCGTGACGAAGGTAGTAGCGTATGTTTCAGCGACGGCAATCATTTCTACTGTGGATTCATTAGAAATAGTTTGCTACAACTTTTACGCCAATAGTTACAGATCTTCGTGTAAAGGGAAATCACGTTATATGAATTTTATCACGAGAGAATGTAAAGACACACAACCATCTCTATGATCAATACTCCGGAAGTTGATTTCCATTGTTGGAGGCTAACCCGCCCGCAAGAATTCCAAATTCTTGTACGGAGATTGAATTTGATCGTGAGCCGCAGCGTTCCATGTGGTTTCTACCGTTTGCATTGCCCGCATTATTTGTACAGCAGACCGTAACCACCACCGTCGCAGTAAAGACATCCTGTATCGTTCATTGGATCTTGAAACGTTTGTGCTTTAGACCACACAATGCGGGCTCGCGTTCTTCCTGGGATTTAATGGACATACTGTGTGCGAAATAGTTGCTACACTGAGAAGCTCTAATCTGTGAAGTATCCGGACTTGTTTCGAGTAAAATACCATCAAAGCTTGCTCGTTAACACACCTTAGTAGCTATCGAAGCCAAATTCAATCAGAGACGACGGATATAAATATAAGGGTTGTTTCGAGCAACTCGTGTATTTTTAAATAACCTACTTACATGACGTTCGTAGGTTGCGTCGCTATAAACGACCATACCTACTTCGTGCTTGGATCATATAGCATGAGGTCTTTAGAGAGTAGCAGAGAGTCATTGATCAGAGGCGAGGTTATCTCTTGTCTCTGTAAGAGATGGCCGAATGAAAGGCACCGACAACGTCCAGCAGCGAGCCATACATCAACTCGCGACCTGAAGTAAATAAGCGGTGCCCTGTGCGACCCTCTAGATATTCTCGGTATAACGGACTATACACGATGCCGCCGTGATAATCATCCTTCTGCAAAAGCCGATCACTATGCTTACGCATTTAAATGGATTTCTATTTCTAATGAAATCAAGTGCCCCGTTATTTTTACCATTGCACTTTTTTCCACATTAACCCTGCAGCAGCATCAAAAGACAATCAAGTGTAGTTTATGAATTTCGTTTATGACGTATACTTCGTAAGTAGGTTGCGATAAACATATACAAGCATAATCTAAAGAGGTTACAAAAATAAGCATAACTTTAATGACGATGCTGTAACAAACATCTGCTTCTTTATTGATCGGCAATATAAATACGCCCGTTGAATATATAGTGAGAATGGTTAGAAATAATGCGTGTCGCGTAAATAACTCATGACGGGGGAGATAACCACTTCAAAACATTTGTCATCGTTGTGACTGTTGTTGAATTTAAGCAAAATTGATAATAGGCCCAACCAGGGACAGAGATTGATATATAACATGCAGTTTTTCCACAATGTCACTTTTTATTACATCACCTTAACGATCGAGTTTTAACATTAATTTGCATAAATAAATAATAGTGCTCCTTCGTTAACATTGCATACGGCCCGTGTTTTTTCACACGTATCTCTCCTTATTTTTATCCGCGATCCACTTTTATTTTTATGCATATTAAGCACGTGTATATGCTGAGCAAACTAAAAACTTTGTATTATTCATAACAGACATCATGATCATCATCATCACTTCAAGTACAACGTTCTTCGAGAAAATATTTGCGCGCAAAAGTGTTTTGCCTTTTGTTATCACCAATCAGAGTGTGCTTAAGAAGAACAATTTTGCGCGACATGACACCTGCGATACAATATCATCGCATTATTAAAGGTTAAATATCATAGCGACTTGCGTCGCCTCTCTGTAATACACATATTTTAAACATATACCTACTTCTCGCACACCGATGCACGATAAACATCCCTAAAATAGCTATCCGGCTGGCAGTTAAACCGGTAATATGTTTCAGGAGTAAATGGCCGGATTCTGATAAACACAAGTTATGCGCTTACGCGCAATGTCTTTTCGACCGTCCAATAAATTAAACTCTCCCCTTTCCCCCCATGCATCTGAGCATTTGCCGTCCGGTACGGAAACGTTAGTATGATTATAATTTATTCTTGATTAGCATTAATCCTCACGTTCGCTCAGTTGCTCCCTTCTTCTCCCTCTATCCCTTTATCCCTATACGGTATCCCCCTGCAACCTCTTCCCTTTACCTCTCTTTCAGCATTAGCTTCACCGTAGCTTTTATTGGACCATTGGTCCGGCCGTAACTTACACTTATGATTATTAATGCCGACAGATTTATCGGGGATTGGCACGAAAATCTGAAACGTGAAATAAAATGGTACATAAATTCAATTAAGGCCGTGTGCCGCGCATGAAAGTATCATAGCTGGACCTATCGCGCGGCATGGCGCACTTTCCTCGTCCACCGCTGGATACCGACGATATCGATAACTCGACTGTTTAATTCCATTATAACTCGAGAATGATACAATGTTCTCCACGGTGTCGTTGAACAAGTATAAAAGCCGCAGTATGGAGGAAACGAATGAAAATTGCTTGATATCGAACACCGATTACATCGCTCAAATTAAGTATCATATTGGATGCTTAAGCGGTCTTTTCGAAGACAGTTGATAAATATTAGGACGTTAACTGTTTCGTCCTATGTATCAGTTTGCAAGTTGATTAACGAAAATAATTCAAACGTGTCTGGTTGTACCGATTATTTACAGGAATCTATAAAATTAGTTCGTGGCGATATATGTCCTTCGCGAGACGCAATTAAGTTCAGGAAGGAAAAACAGGTGAGCTATCTGACATGCTAATTATGAAAAAAAAAGGGGGGGGGAGGAACTAGACGTGTTATTATAAGTCGTTAATCATTTTCGATTTTTTTAAATACCATACGGCCTCACTCAATTAGCTCTTAACTAAGCGCGATTACTTTTTCCATCGCCTTCTTTTACGCACGGGATATTTTTCTCGGGATCTTGTAACGCATCGGGTAATTATAAATATCAGGATGGTCGATCGATATCGGCACCTCGCGTTAATCCAAGTGACGTTATCAATTCAAAACCGGTATTAACTGCGGTAAGAAAAAGCATCAATAACCGAACGCGTCAAGATGTCGCCGTACTTGATTAATGGAGTGACTGTTGGGTGGGTAATGATGGATGAGGAGTACGTCGTTTCTGGATATGGATGATTAATCAGTCCACATTCGCTTCAATGAGAATTTTACTATTAAATTTATGTAAGCTCCATTTGATAGTAATATTTATAAAAATGTTTACAACATCTGTAAATGCATATTATCTGCACAGTATGTAAAAAAAAGTTAGAGACAAGTTTGTCATTTGTTAATTTCTATTTTTTCGACATTACCGAAAATATATATTTGGAAGTATCGAGTGAAGTGCACGTTCTATACATGCATACGTTTATAAATATGCACGGATATACATTATAAATGTGAAGTATATATTCAAATATTTTTCAAATATCGTTACAAATGAACCATATGCTAATGTACAGAGCAAATGCACGTGTTAAATAAAACGCACTATTGCCGCATTATTTACCGACGGACTTAAAAATAACGCTCTCTCTCTCTCTCTCTCTCTTTATTTTTCTCTAGTATCACACAATACGATATTTTATGTATCCGCAATCCACAACTCTTAATCCGCACTTGTGTTCGTCAGCGCCGGTCCTTCGAGACTCGAAAGCGACATTAGCCACTCTTATCCATTCAAACAAAATGTCAAAGTGTCAGATGATAATGCGCGGAAGATAAATCAAGCATGCTGAAAAGATGACGGTGATAAATGTAAACACGTCTGCCAGGCGGCCCCGGAGATAGTTACCGAGATACACGACGGGTCGTGACTGATGGCGATGTCGTGAGATGTGGTATCATAATAATTCATAAAGGCCGAGGCCAGAGGCTTAATCGCTGATTAATGAAAGAACAGACTTGTCTCGATCTTTGCTCCTTCTTTTTCTCATTACGTCTTTCTCTTTCTTTATCCGATCCCTTGACATACCTCTCGCTTCCTCCTCTTCTTCTTCGTCTTCTTCTTCGCTTCTTGGCACGACTATGCCGCCGCCTGACGTATGTATATGTGCCGGCGGGACGAGTAATCCGACATGTGTTCGTTTGGGCGATAGACCCAATTAATGCTGCAACGGCAATGTTGCTCTGTCCGTAATTCACCGGAGATGGTTCCTTCTGCGAGAATCTTGGACATAGAGACGAATGAATGGGGAATACGGAGATGCGAGAAATATTTTACATTTATTCACGATAATAGCGATTAATGCTGTATCATCTCTTATGTCGTATCAAATTTCATCTTCGTGCTTTGTTATTTGGTCTATTTTTTACAAGATTATGACACACAGTTTATCATAAACAGCCGTCGTTCTCTTTCTTAGGCTATTTTGTTCTGTTTTTATCATTTGTAACTGGCTGTTTGAGTATTTATATAGAAATTTGTGCCAAAAACATTAGCAGGAAACAATAACTATACATTTTGAAAAAGACTCAAAGATTTACTTACGTATGTGGGCAGCCAGATAACAGAAGATAATGCTTTTACCAACAGCGGACTCGATCATGCATTTACCGCCAAAGGTAAATCTAAAGTTATCTTCCACCAACTAGTAATATTGGAATTTTTAATTGCTTTAATTTCAAATAGCTCCTAATGGATATCAAAGTAATGACTAATTTATACGCGAGATATTATTTTATAATTGGATATTTATAGTAATCTTACAGCTGCGAGCACGTGGAGAAAATGGGACGGCATTAACGTGTACGTCATCTTTGTAAATCAGTCCTAGTGTGCGATATAATTACAAGATAATTGAGATATCATTTATTATAACGGAGGGTACCAAATGTGACATGTCTTATTCAATATCAAACTTTAAAACAGCCAATTTGAAAACGTGGAAGAGCTTATATTCGAATTTCATCATGGGATTGTCCAAAATTAACGTAATTACATGTAAGATTCATACTGAAATATCGAAACTGTAATTTCCAATATAGTTGTTGTTTTTTCTCCCAAAAATCAGTCATCAGTCCACCGGCACATTACGTAACGTGTGTTCAACGAAGCTTTCGTTATACGTCCGCTTCGTTCGTTGGTATTCCGAATCATCCTCGATTCCCCGTCCGCGTTCACCGCGGACGCGTGTTGAGAATGATACATTATTTCCCATGCGAATGTTTCTTTGCCGCGTAATGGCCGATAAATAACACAAATTAATGCCTTATTCCAGACATGTCGGTTATTTATGCCCCGGAATAACTTTATCCCGGCGCGTGATTACAGGCAGACACGCAGCCCTGCGTTCTACTCGCTCCCACACGTTCCTACACGCGCACACAGAATTACGCGATACACGCATTCGACTCTGCACTGAGTTCGTATATCGAATTACCTACTTGGAGTCAAGGAATGTAGGTGAACCCGTCGTGATATTTCTACGTCTGTAGCGAATACATGCCAAGCTACGTCCAGATAGTGAAATCCGATAGATATGCGATAAATTCGAATAAATTGAAAATATGTCGAGAAATATCCTTCATTCATTTTATTACGTCACTCTTTCTCACCGAATTCGGGCGCACGAATAGCGCGTGTCAAAATATATTCGCACGCTGAAATATAAGATCGCTTTTTCGTTGCGTTTTTCGAGCTCTTTACGCCGCTCCTTCGGTGTTCTCGCTGGTAGGGACCGATGTTGTCGCGCTAATTGCACGTCCAGAGCACAATTTACAGGCGCGAACCGCCGTTTCGTCGCGTAAGAAGAATGAGGAGGGTAAACGAGAGGAAGAGGGACAAATATTTCATATTTCGAAGTAAGTGTGTTTCTCGAAACATTGATAACACGTATCGAATCTTACATTGTGTGCCTGCCTGCGATAAATTGTTGCAATCTCACTAACCGTAAATCACAGTTGCGATCGGGCCCTAATTAATACCTCTCGCTAATTTGTGCTCTTAATCACGGAGCACATTTATAACGAGCGAGACGTTCAAGTTACGAAATATGCATACGTTTGCAGTCCCGTGAGTATAATACAAACACAGATTCGGGGTCACAGACTGTGGTAAATTGAATAAAAACACGATTACGTACCAAAGGGATTTCCTATGACTTGGGACGCAGGAACGATTAAAGGGACTGACGTGCGGAGATCGAAAGAAAGAGCGTATATGTGTTTTGTGTTGTTCGTCGTGGCGCGGGAAAGTTTACAGGCCTGCTAACCCCGTAGGGACCGTCCCTCTTCTTCTCTCCCTCTTCGACCGTACATCGATTCGTTTGTCAAGTAACTTTCGAGTCCGGGGGTGAGCCAATATTTCAGGAACAGCGGAACCAAGATTGAGGCTAGGAAGCGATGGGGAGGCTGCTGACCGCAGAGAAGATAAATTTGTTCCGCAATTGAGACGGGCGTGCCGCAGTAAATCTTGTCTATTAGGTATCACTTCTTCTTTCCCGCTACAGGTATAAAACTATAAATCGAGAGTAGGAAGACACCACCGTATTGAGCTTGACCACGGAGACACACAGAGAGGAGAGGGTGGGAGGGAAGAGGTCGGTAGAAAATCATCTGGCATCGGTTGCTTATTGTTTTCCTCGTATGCTGAATACGGAAGAAAGAATATACAAGTAGTTCATCTTGAATATTTCATTTTTGCCGAATCATTTTTACGAATCTAATCATATTTCACTTTTCTTTATTCACGTTGTACATTCTAGTTGGTTCAAAATAACTTTCCCCGAAGAGAAAAAGACACTCGTAAATACATCACCTCGACAAGAGCGTTATCAGTTTTGACCATAGATGGAGAACGATAATCGAGAAAGGTAACCTTCGGTGTATTTTGCAACGCAAGACTTGAGAATAGGCCGCATGCAGATGCTGGAATCAAGGAGCAGGTAGAAACGAGCTCCTTCGACTTTTACGACCGCCAATACAGCGGTACTTTCAAGTGTTGAGACGCATCGTCGAGACACAATTTACAAGGCGGTTTCTCGTCTTATTGTACGCAAGACCGAATGGGTTGTACACAAAGATCAATGAATAGAGAAGGAAACAAAGGCCGATCCGAAGGACCGGAGAAATAAAGTGCCAGGTATTAGATGTGTTTGGACAAGCTGTCACTCGATGGCCATGGAATAATAGTAGACTTTACGACGGGCGATAAATATATCTTAGAGATACATTCGGCTAGTACGTATATCACCGGCATGTAACAGTATTATTAATTCGATTAAATCCTGATATTACTTTCTCTCTTGGCACCACGATGACATTGCTCGATTCGAAAGATATTTTCTGGGCACGTTATAGGCCAACCAAGCGTAAATTAAGCAGACGATGACAAAGGCGCCATCTTCGGAAAATGCGATAAATTAATTGAGGATCGGCGGTTTAGTTAGCCGGCTACTCGAGATCTTCGGCCGAACGAGTATGTACCTAATGGAGTCATTGTTCGGTCCATGTTCAGCCCGAAAACAGCACGTTGGTGTACGCGTAACTCGCCCGTTAATACGTCCGATACCTTGACCGCGTAATCTTTCGCAGGGGCAGGAGGTAATTAGCGGTAACGGACGGTTACGTCCGATATACGAACAATGGAACATCGGCGATGCGATGGGAATAGGAAGAGGGCGATGGCTGAGCGAGTATGATAAATGAACGGCGCCTGACAAGCGGCCATCGTTGCCCGATGATGGATGGCCGACGGTCCCGCTCCCTAATTATTTCATACTTTGCAATCAGAACGATAATCCATCCGCGATACCTGCAGCCTGTCATGGATAAATCATCGGTTATCATTCCTGAGTCACAACACGTGTGCGTACGTTCGCGCGAACGCAAAGGGTTTGGGGCGAGCGGAAAGGGGAGAGGAGAAAATTGCGTTGTACCGCCGGAGTTTGTCGGTTTAACATCGGTGAAAGTTTCATTGTCGTATATTCTGCTAATTAATCCGATTTCACGCGGCATTATTTCATATTGGAATATTATCGCTCCCACCGGTCAATACTTATCAATCTATGGATGAAAAGAGATAGACGTATAGAAAATTCCTTCGGACATTGAAGTCTCTGAATATTTTAAGTCTGCGTTGATGATGACGGCAGCGACGGAAATCGTAGTTTGCATTAGTTTCGTAAAAGGGGGGGACCTCCTTCTTATTTCATAATGGCATCGGCGATTTGACGTCCAGCCAATAATTTGAAAAATATTCCACCAAAGCGCCGCCATGTAAACAATTGAGCCCGCCGTGTCTAATTGCCGCGGTTGATTTTCAAACCGCCCGTCATCCTGTGCCTAATAAATGGATACAGCGGATCTCTTAAATAGTAAAAGACCCGGCCCATTATTTTGGACGAACGCCGAAGGTTACAAAGGACTGTCTAATTTAGCTCTTGGCGGCGCCGATGCACCATGTCGGCCGCCACTCTCGTCACGTTCGCCTGATGACCTGCGTGATCCTGATAATCAGCCGGCAACGAATCTTCATTCTCCGTAGTCTTACTATCCACAAATGGGAGGATAACCTGACCTAACCTAACATTTAATATATATGAATCGTATTTGAAAAATTTCATCGTGTTTAAGGAAATATTACATGTTTAAAGTATCTTCTCACTGTGGATATTTTTGGGGCAAAGGATTGATTCTTTCAGTTCGCCCATATATTCCCCTGACACCCTATATATTCGGACATTTTCTCTGACAACTATGATATACCACCGTACAGATTACGGAAATCCCACGAGTGTGAGCGCGTTACGCGCTCCAAAGGGGGACGCAACGAGAAGAGTGACGGGTGGGGTAGAAGCGAGACAGGAAACACTGTTACCCGGGCGGCTCTTTGATGTCGGATGTTTACTTTATGGCCAGGGCATGATTGTGACATCGTCGTACCGAAGGGCCCGTGACGTCATAAATGAGGTGGTCCCTCCTCTCGAAGAGGCCAACTCATACCATGTTACACCTAACTTGACCTCCTCCCTTCTCTCTCTCTCTCTCTTTCCACTTCATCACATAATCCACAAACGCTTGCAATCCCTCGACCATGTAACCCCTCACGGACCGCCAATGTTGTGTGTTATAATCGCTTGATACCATATATACATCGCGTTCGCGAAGAGAGAGACACGCGAATCTATTTATAATAGCCATATATTTTCTTGAAGTTGCTTGTACGCACTATCTAAATGTCGAGCGACAGAGAATGCGATGTATTAATATGAGAGATATGTAAATAATTAATATATTTTCGCGACACAAATATGCGCGTATATGATGTCCTGACATAAATAATCCGAGTATTTAATGCGTGATATTTGGAGAGAGGAAAATATTTCTTTCAATAGATTGCATATTTCAAACGTCATGTATCATACGGGCAAGTTGATGTAAGACCTTGTCGAGAGAAAGCGAAAACGTTGCAGACATATTAATAAGTAATATAGCTGAAACGGTAGACGATATGCACTGATGTAAGAATGGCAAGGCCCTCGGACGACGGCGACGATTCTGATCGTACCTAACGTGATGCTTCAACGAAAGGGTGAGTTAGCCGAGGTTTACGAGCTGGGAGAGTCTTCTGACGAGGGCCACGGCTTTACGTCGTCATGTGTCACGCATCGTTACTGCCGCAACGCCGTTATGAGACATTTACGATAAGATATGTCGCACCTTTCGCCCCTGACAACCCACAGATTTACCGTTGGTGGCGAGAATATAGCTTAAAGAAGATGGGACGAAAAGGGGGAGGGAGAAGTGCCACGTCATGGTGGCGGTAATGGCAGTATCTGAAAGCCACTTTTTACTTGGCTGTCCGAGGAACAATATTACACGCTTAATGACTTTGGGTGTTTCGTAAAGGGATGGTCTCTCCAGAATTCGTTCAAGTTACGCAACAAATGCACACGAATAATATCCGATACTAGGTGTATAAACACACGACTGCTACATATTATAAGTTAGACGGAATATCAACGATGATCCTAGTGCGAATATTGATATTCGAACGTCAGATCTGAAATTTGAGATTATAGATGAAAGACAAAAATAAACATGCACACAAACGTTGGCTCTTTCATTTCCTTAGAAAAAGGCATTGAGTACCGAACAACCGGTCTGTATACGACGAGTCATCTTTGGCCATGCCATCAACGTATATCGAAACGTGCAGAATATAATTGCCAGACTTGACGGGCAATTTATACTTGCGTACGTTGCAGATGAGTGTCATCCCAGGGTAGATAATTGCACAGCGGGATCTATAAATTGTGCGCATAATCGTACGTCGAGGACAATCTTATCCGGTTATAGTTATGAAGTTTTTTTTTCTTGAAAAAATCCCTGAATGCATGACATATATGAATCATCTTTAATTGAGAATCGGGAGAATCAAATCGTGTGACGCCGTGATATTCGACTTAGGTAAATATCGCTATCCTTTTGGGCAGGATACTTGCCAGATCAGAAGACGAACGCAGAAGATTATGAACTTCAGGTGTAATCATTGTATTCACTATCGTTTCAAAGCTATAAAAAGGAAGAAGAAAATATTCGAATTGGGGATTAAATGTGCATTTTACATTGTCCGCTTTACGTATTAACCAAACTCGTTTTCAACACGACATCGATCTGTGTTTAATAATAAAAATCATTTAGTCCATATCTCCTCAGCAAAGGAAATGAAAAAACGGAGATACCCCTTGCTTAATGACGCTTTCGACAGGGTATAAGGACAAAACGGCATTGCTTGTTTAGGACGCGTGTATTAACTTCAGCCTCTGTAGTATACTTGCTCGGCGAACACCGAGTTTCCTACTCCTACCAAAAACGCTAATGGGAAGCGTATACAGTTTGGGGGGGAGACACTTAGCAGACTTAGCGCTCGTGGCTACTTTATTTACGCTATCCGACGCACACGTCGACCGCGATGGCAACGACAAGCCTATGCATACAGTAGCACTCGATGCTAACCGACTGTGCAAACACTGTCTGCACAGTTCATGTTTGTGGATGGTCCCACTGCTCTTCGCGATTGCGGTTGGTCCCTGCTAAACTGACGTCATGATACTCTTGTCAGTCGAAATGTCGGTGCTACTGTACGGTCTGTTTACAGAAACAACTTTAACCGTTTGATGCTTTCGAAAAGATTCTCGATTGGTTGACACGTATGTAGTAGGCAAATATCTTTTTAGTGGACGCAAGAACGCTTATACAATTCCGCAGGATCTCTGAAACTCTTGCAGGAATTGAGAACTTATCGTTTCGGTTATTTCTATTGATTTCGCATCGCGATATCTGTAAGTCATACCCCGTCCATCGAAACAGCTCTTTATCAGTACCGACGAGGCGAATAATTGCGGGAACTTTTCAATAAATTCAGAAAAAGTACAAAGCTTCTTTACATAAACACGGCAATACAATGATACTCTCGCGCAACCCAGTGAGTAGGGTCACGCCCATCCGCCACATTCGACAGTCAAATATTTCATGTTGGCACTTTCGACATTAACTCTATTCGTCAGGGACTTATGCCTATCCACGGTAACACCGTATTCATTCATGCGACACGCCGTGCACGCTTCTCAGCCTTTTCTCTTCCTTACGCTGTGACAGGCAGCTGTTCGCGCCCCATGTCCAAAGTCATTATATACAAACTGCGTTCCGTCGCTTTTGTGCCTCGGAACGTTCTGTTTGGACAGGTCTCGTTTTCAAATGTCCAGCACGAATTTCCCGCTACGATACCTCACCTGGTTTTCACCTGGTTTTATAAAAGTATGTTAACCATTATTAGTTATTGCAGCAGTATCGAAGAGAGCTATAGATAACCGATCCAGCCTCTCTCTCTCTCTTTCTCTCTCTGCATCCCTATCGAAACAGCACCGAATATCACGAGATATTGCCCATCGGAGGATAGAAGGAGACACAAGGCGCCGAGACGTTCGAACATTTGCGACCGCAAATTATTCGTATCCCCGTCTCACACCGGAACCGACTAACAGTTTTGTAAAAAGCTTTTGTGAGTTCACCGTGGCCGTAACTTCAACTTTGTCGTCGACGGTGTTTCCATCCTGGGACAGGAGACGACCAGACCTGTACCGGTGCGGCAGAGGGATTACAGTGGAGCACAAAGGGGTCGGCGGATCCGTGGAAAGGGAAAGGGCACTAGGAGATAAAGCGGGGAGAGGGTAAAAGAGACGCCCTCCCTCTCTGAAATTACAGCCTCGTAACTCCCGGTAAGCGGGAAAGAGCGTATGTGACAGCGGGCGGACAGGCGCGCATGGTTTTCCGGAAGTTTTATAGCCATCAGGGGGGGTGTTCCAAGGGTGTTTCGGGCCGAGCTACCCGGCCGTTGCCTTACGCGGTCTATGCCGTTACACGGTTCCCGCATTCTCGTAAACAACCGGCCAGACGTGCTTATCGTGTTCCCGCGTCGACTCGATGCCTCGCTTTGATGTACATCAATTCACATAATGTTCCAAAGATTCGACGGTAACGCAGATAGCCGTCCTCCTCTAAGACCCTTTCATCCGCATCTTTGCCAAATTTTGCCTCAAATAGCTTAACTACTATCAATCCCCAAATTCTTCTCAAATAATATATGTTTGAGCGCTATTCACACATAGATTACCCAAATATCCTCATAGTCTTAAGCTATCAACTGCGTTTTCTCGTTGGAAATCAATACGATCTAAACATATAATATGACGCTTTGTGAACGTTCAAATTGTACGCTCACCATTTTGCGTTGATGTCCAACGACGTCAAGCCGTCCACCGATGAAACTGCATCCCGACTGTGTCGCTCCGTCCAACTTCAGTAGCCGTCGTCGCACGTCGATCGCTCTTCACTCACTTCACTGCACTGCACTCGCGACTGCGATCATTTTAACGGCGTTTGACGATTTTACGAAAACTACGCGATAAATTCCGAAAATTGCGATTCGCGAATCACGTGTTGAAAATCACGAAACGCAACACTTTTGACAATTGACCAATTTTAGAAAATTGATCACGGTTGTTATCAAGGAGAAAAATCAATATCTAAAGTATCTGCGAAATAACGTTTGGAGAAACGAGTCCCTGATTATTTTCAAATTCTACTACTTTGATGGACAAACGTATACATGCAAAAGTCTGTGAATCAAGTAAATCGTATTGATTTCAAGCAGATTTTATGAACTTTCGTCACCAACATATCGGAAACTCAGGCTCGGCCGTACTCCGTTGCAGTTGTTGAAGAAAAATATCGTTTCGCCGATCAGATGTGAAGGTTAACGGCGCAAAATAGATAAGAACGTGTTAACCCTTTTACGATCGTAGTAACTCGACGATTTTTATTTCAACCGTGTCCCAGTTTTCGAAGAGATAAATGCAAAAATACGATAAACCCTACCTTCTCGAGCCGACCCTGGTCGAATCGAATTCTCCGATACGCGTCCACTGCAAACTGCACCCTCGGGAATCACACTGACCGTGTGGCCGCAAACTCTGGTAGATCTGAAACAAAAAGTAAGTTTCCTAATTAGTTGTCGATCGATGGTTGTCGACGCATACGTAGGCTGTACATTTCTCCTTTACGAGGTCACGTGATTTTCGTAAGGGATGAAAGTTTAGGATGAAGTCGGACAATGAGTGTAATGACAACGCTTCAAGTGAGATGAGAATGTTGAAAAGCGTGTTTCAGAAATGGAAAACGAGGACGACGGATCCTCGGCGGTGAAACGTTACATCGCGTTCGCCGCATCGTCGACGTCGATCAATCAATATACCCAGTAGTGGCTGCCCACGTGATACAGTGAGGGGGATCGGGATGGATATTGGATTGCAAGATGAAAGCTGCTCGTTAAATTAGTTTCTAATCTGTCCGATCTCTGAAAGCGCTGAGTCCCGGGCTTCATTCTCGTGCGTCTAATCATTAATCTCTGCCAGCAGATGTGCCGCCGTCATTGATTTAAATCACCGGCGCGTTGGTTAACCCTTCCTAATCTACTGTGCCCGTCTGGACCGGCCGTCTGATGTCCGATCGGATTGCCGGTAAGACGGGTAACGAGATAACATGTACCTGCGTATATACAGAAGCGGAAGAAAATCTCTCTCTCTTACTTCAAACGCTTCTCTCCCTTTTTTTCCTTCGGTATGAAATAATGGAACGGTGTTATTCGAACAAAACAATATATTGTCTCCGTGAGGCTTGAAATCGCGTAAGGTGACAGCGAATAGAGGATATCTTCCGACGAAAATTTCGGTACACGCTCTTTGCGGGGCCGTCCGCGGCTCGTGAGCACAGCCGGAGACAGTAAATCAAGCTCCGAGAGTGAACTCTCGGCGGTAGCAAACAATGCGCGGCGTGACGAAGGCATTGTCGAGTTTACGCCCCGCGGGGTGCTCTCTCCGGCTAACATCCAGAGCTCAGTTCACTCACCATTATGGAACGAGAATGGTGGAGGGGGAAGGGGTGCCCCATCAATTACATGGGAAATTGCGCTCGCATTATTTATGTGCGTATACACCGCACTAGGCCATGCCGCAGTTCTCCGCAGCGGTTATCGATAGCCCGACAAAGAGGACATAAATAACGCCTTTTGCGCTGGTAGGTGTACATTCTCCCGTTATTCGCGCATCAGACGGATGATTCTTAGCAAAGCGGCGATCCATTATCGATATCGTACCGCCCTCTTAGCACGATGTTGTTGCCTCGCGCAAATTGAACGAGCACGGGAGGCGAAAAATCGGCCGAAATCATGTCAACACGACGCTTCATAAGTCCGCTCGTACGTACGGATACGTGAATAGGATGATAAACTTAACCTCCGGGCAAAGGAGGAGTATACGGGCAGAAGCTGCCGCATCGGTGGAAAAGTCCGAGATGGCGGGAGAGAGAGAGAGAGGGGGGGAGATGGATATACGGAGCTGCCGAACGAGGCGACAGCTGTCGATTTCGTGCAGCCCTTGTGCAGAATGCGCCAGTGGAGTTGCAACCGACTACCCATAAATAACGCGCTCGTTTCTGGAGCGCGCGAGGAGAAGAAAAAAAGCGAGAAGTGGAAGGCGAGGGGAACGTCAGCGACGTCACGCGAGCGTCGTCAACCGAGCGTTCGTACCGCGTTCGTGCTCGTTGACGACGTGGCGGGATTAGTTCATTACCCGTGCGTTATACTAATCGTGTTTACGCTTCGCCTGATCGATGTGCGGTGAACGGAGGGTGATTATCCGTCGCCGAGTAACTCGCTACGGTGAGACACGGTAATGCGTGAGAAAACATGCTAGCAAAGCGTGCTAGTGGAACGAGATACTGTTCTACCGACGGATATTCTTTTTCAACTAGGGGAAGACGCCAATATTTACTACCTCCAAACGTTGCGATAATTGTTACTCCTAGGCATAATTAGCATGATTCATTGCGGTGGAAAATAATGGAAACCTCCCGCCGGAATAACACACTTCGAAAGCCTGGCACACTCGTTAAGAAGTCGAAGGAAGTAGAACTGCGTGACGAAAACCTATAAATCGCTCATGTAATTGCGCGCTGTATAGTGTGTTATTACCGAAGACCGATAATGTTCGCCGAACTATAGGATATGAAACTCGTGTAAATTTCGCTCGCATCATCTCGAATAAAGAGGATTCAATGTGTTAAACGCAAGTTTTAGTCATGTGATGAAGTATCGAACTTGTGTTTTATTATACGGAAATGTTGCTCAACACTGTTGCGATTGAAAGTACTCCGCTTCATTTCCTCGGAGCGATATGTTGCAAGAAGGTTAATGGCTCACTAATAGACACGTATTTCACAATTCTCGGTCAATGTTTTCTCATCCGAAAGAAACTCGAACAATCTCCCGACACTATTTCTATCTTATCTTTCTGTCGGGCGACGTTCCGGGCGGTTGTTAGATACGAACAGTTTCCACGGAAGAGCATTAGCGGCGTTATTAGCGCTAGTTAGAGGATACGCTTTGGTGAGAGATGAGAGCGGTGTATAATTATCCGAGCCTCTTCTCCCGGTTGAACAGACGAGGACGACGTGTTTATGTGGCGCCGACCGAAGGAACCTGGCAGAGTGTCTTGTATTATCTACGACATTAGACCTACCGACGAATCGTTGAAAGAGGGTAGCAAGCTCGAAATGAGTGACAAGTAATCTAGCATTTCTCGTGCGTGGCAACTGCTCTCGAGATGATGTTACGAACTTGATGATATTTCATATGTACTCTACCCCTAATTTAATGTACATCAGGGATGCGTATATATTTGTTATACGTTTAATTAAAGTGTCGAATTAAATCAGGTTGCGTGACAATGTACGACTCAATAATCAATGCGAATTACGTAAATCACCTTGCCTGTGTGGTACACGCAACAAAATCCTATAATTTTGCGAATAGCAATGAGAGGAATTGACATTCGAATTTCCATGAAACAATTGATATGCGTTTCGATGCATCACTAGCGCATCCGTATCCGCCGACATACACCATTGCCATTACTACTTCAATCCATTTTAGTTGAATTCATTAATTGCTACAATATGCATGTAGACCCTTGTGCCGTGCACGCGTTTTAAACGTTTTCGCATTAAATTTATTTCGGTATTAAATTTCACCCACGTGTCGTGAATATAAAAAGCTGTTTCGGTGTGTTTGTCAAGGCAAAATGTATTACACGTGCGAAAAGTTAAATATCTGATAACTGATTATGTATAAGCAGTTTTTTTTTCCAAATTTGTCGTTAGATTATGCAAAAATTATCGAATCGAGAAACACAGTATCTTTTTTTTTTTCCTATAACGAATATGAGAACGTTGTTAACGGCACTTTGTCTCTATCCAACTCGAATTGTTAAATAAAGTTGAACAAAAGATGAGTTACAAAAGAAACTATCAAAGAACGTTAAACGGCAACTCCGGAAAACCGTTCTGTTCAGATAAGAGACAACATTTCTACCAAATGAAAAATGTTTATCCCGGCGGCAGACGGCAGGTTCAAAGCAACTGTGCTGGGCAGTAAAACGTAATTATTTTTTGTAGTCGCCATAAAGCTATAAACCGTCGGGCTACCCAGGAAACACAGAGCTTGCACATTTATATTACTTAATTACTCTTCCTGGTCGATACAGTTTATTTACTAAGGACGATCGAACCTATTCTCGATCTGCGCGTGTTTATAATAGCCACGCCTAAGAAATGGCAGGAAAACCTTCCACAATTTATACCCGTTCGTTTTTTTTCCTACCGATAGGACTTTACAAAGCGACTTAATGACGTTGCCGCACATTGGAACCCAAGCGTGAGCGCATCGTCGTAAACGCACGAACAAAGGCTAAAATACATAGGGCGATCGTTATATTCTTTCACGCTCTACTTACTCATGTATTATTATATTGTTAAATCTTTTATTGCTTCACACACACCGACGCACTAGGATTCGGGAGAAAACATTCCTAACCGGATACTTCGGGCGGATTGATACAAAGCAACGAAGGTGCGCGCAGCAATCAGGAAAATCGATTCGTGCGTACGTCAATGAATCACCTTGTGCTCAGCTCCCAGTGATATCTAGTCTTCCGCAAATCTCAAGAGTTTCACGTGTCGTAAAAACGTCCCATCAGTGCTTCATTAAGAACGCCGCGACACCAGCGAACGTTGGCGGTACGAACTAGCGATACACGAGATCCCCTCAGCGACGCAAGTCGTGGTGGGAGTCGTGAGAGGGCACCCTGCGCCAGTTGACACGTCGTTGTCCAGGTCGCTCGCACCCGGCGAAAGTGTCGGCGTAGCGCTAACCGACAACGACCACCGTGTCGCTACGGCCGCTGCTGTTGCCGCTGCCGCCACCGTCGTCGCTGCCGTAGCGTTCGCCTCTTTCGCCCGCATTGGTTACTCGCTGCCGCTCGTAGTGTTTCGTGTCGTTCCGTGCGTTGTAGTCGCGATACACCGTCTGGTGTCGAGGAGGAGGCACCTACGATGTTGTCGCTGAGACGCAAAGGAGGAGTGAGGCTCCCCGGGGGAGCGAGTCTGCGGTGTGTGGTGGGAGAAGTCAGCTGAACGGTGGATCCGCAGGGGTGAGCGGCGAGAAGGGCGACCGCGCTCCACGTCGACCGCGCGAAGCGGCTCCAGTCGTGAGTCAAGCCTCGTCACGTCGATTTCTCCTCTACGAACGTTCTTTTCCTCTCACCTGTTCGAACGTATTGTCGCGGTGTGCCGCGTTTGGCGTATTGTGTGCGCGAGAAAGTGTCGTTCGTTGTCGAAAACCAGCCTCATGCATGGCTACGTTCAGGAGTGATACTATTGTTTCGTTATTGCAACGGATATAGAAGGGAGGAGAGAAAAGTGAGAATCCCAAGTTTTGATTCACCGATGAGTCGAGGAGTGTGCTAAAAAAAAAGTGGTGCTTTCGTTCAGTACAACCGACGGTGTGTGAGCGAGGATCGACTGCGAAGGTTTTAAGATGCTGACGTCCAATGCGAATCAGTATCTCCGTCCTGAATATCTCACACCGTTACCTACTACGGTTAGTTTCGCATTGTCCTCTTATCGTCTTTTCCTACGTCGTAAATTACAGACCCTATCATTCGTGTCCTCTACTTGCTGCTTTACATCGCAATTTATCGATCTGCAGAAACGTGTATTTTTCAACGTACGTGTCCAAATGAACCGTGTCCCGTCTCAGCAGCTGTCGTTTGCATTGGCAACGAATTTTTCTCGCATATTTTATCAGTGGTTTAAAAAAAAATTCGACAAAGATGGACCCGTTTTAAATGATCCACCAATTGGTCGTGGTTTTTCACCAGTTGTAGAGGTGACAAAATTGCAGCGCACATTGCAAGTATTAGATTAACAAAAAAAACCGTCCAAGTGCCATCAAAATAAGCGAGAGATTAAATATTGACTAAAACATGTTACCTGTTGTATTTTTGCGATATGGACAAAAGAAACTTCCACTCATTTATAAAGGAATACCTGCCGAGAGGAGAGATCTCTATCGGGTTGGTCCTCTCCCTCTAGATGAAGTGAATTGAAATGTTCACGAAACGTTAGAAATAGAGAAGAACCACAAAGAAGAAACGTAAAAAAAAAAATAGCATTAAAAACTCGTATGCAAAGTTCGTTCCCCATTTCTGAGAACAAAACGTAAGTTGTTTTGGAGGAAGCGTGTCAAGAGACTTTTCCGAAATTGTAATATAAAACAAATCCACAGTGCACTGCAATACCGTCCCTACTCCGCCAGATTTAGCTCCAGCCGGCTATTTTCTCTTGTACAAAATGAGATTGCAATTGTAAGGAGAAAGGTTAAAGACGTCGACGCCATTCAGAAAAGTGATGTAGTTGAAGAAGGTTTCAGGAAAAGGGTTCGAGCTTTCCAATTTCTTTACTGACGCTATAAAAATTGCATAGGAAGCCAAAAGGCGACCATGTTGAATGTTAAATAAAAGCTTATATATCTTTTTGTGAATTAAAAAAAAATCAGTCCGAGAATTTTATAGTCGCACTGCGTAAGTCTCACTTGAAAATATCTTTCCCAACGGCCCATTAACGTCGTCCGTCGTCGTTTCGTTAATCCCGACGGAAACACGCGCGCGCCACGTTTTATGCTCCGGACTCCTGTAAACTATTTTGGGGACAGAGAGTGTTGGCAAAGTCTCGGTGTGTGTCGGCTTGCTGATTTACGTGCGTCGTAAATCAAAGCGCGATTTGGTAATACAATGCTGATTGTTGAACGCGGGCGACGAGATGGATGAAAAAGCACGCGGAATAGAGTGTTCGATTGACTTTACGGGAATCTGGGTAGAGAGACGAAGAGCGCCAATGATTTTTCGACAAATACTCGGCGCGAAATGTTTTCTCCTATTTTTTTTCGCAATCAAGCCTACCTGGGCGGTAACCGTTAAAGGAAACACCTTTTCTCTCTCTCTCTCTCTCTCTCCTGCTGTTTCTTAGAAACAGATTTATGGACGAAAAGTATTCGGCGGTGTACGTAAGAAGAATTCAAAGGATTTATGTGGCAAGAGTCGCGTAATGCGCAAGCAAAGGAAAGACGTTCGTCACAAGGGGCATAAATTAGTCTCGACAATTAAAAGCCGGCGGGCGGCATTAGCGGATTAAAATATTACGTTCGAACGTTCCCGTTAACTTTCACGAGCGCAATTAATATATAGCTTCGCGTTGCCGTAATGGCCTGTTGCAATTCACGGCATTAATATCTGTCGGCGTCGCGCCATTAGTACGACCGACCGTGAGCGTGGCGGGTTAGTATTGCATGATCGTTGCATTTTAATTACGACGGAACATCTGTTCGGTGGACGTATCAGTCGACGAGAAATATCGCTCTTCTATACGTTAATTATACCGAGTGCATCATCGTGACCACTTCGAGTCGGGAGATATACGAAGGCGCCGATATTAAATTCCCGCACTTATACACTAATAACGTCTGTATCGCGCAATTTCATATTGATTATATTTTGTGACGCGACTCGGTCGCAATAAAAAAAAAAAAATCTACATAGTTAACAACGTCGCCAATGCGTCGAGTTCTTAACAATTACAACGATCGATTTTTTATTATATATATTATTGTATTATTTATAATTGACAAAGTACTCTCCTTCCAGTTTACGATTATTATACTACAGAAAATGTGCCATTGCAACGGCAACGGTTGGGGAAAATCTGGGAATACATCTCTTATGTGGGGGAAGTTTCTCGGCAATTGGATTGAAAGGGTCAGCTTTCCGGTGAATAGGTTTGTCCGACGCACCCTTTATACGCGTCACTTCTCGCTGGGCGAGCAAGCGACGCGGCGCTACAAATTGCGGTTTGCGCGTCATTAATTAAACTTGTCTCTATACAAACGTTTTACACACCAAATTCCGACTCGTCTCACCTTACACGCTGTAGCCTAATTGTTTCGAACATTTTGTACGTTGAAGCAATAGTAGTACACATCGACGAGTAGTTTTGATATATCGCTCATTGGACACCATTTTGATTTCAGTTAGACGCGAAGAAAAGTCCACTCGCGCTACTCGCTCAAACCTGCAGCCAGATAGGAGCGGATCCCCCGTCCAACAAGTCGCTACTAAGTTCCTTGGACAAATCGTCGAGCAACAGATCATCCAAAGCCGCGGAGCAATCCCGCGAAAAGTCCTCGCCGGTGGTGACAGTGTCGGGCCCGACGGTCGAAACGACGAAAACCAGCTTCAAGCCGTACGAATCCTGCCTGGGACGCGAGAAAGCGTGCAGCCCGGACGAACCGCGATCGGCGTCGAGCCATTCCGGCCGGTCGAGGACTCCCGGTAGCGGCGGCAAACGATGCCCCAGCAACCAGAGCGCCGCGTCGGTGCGGGCGGTGACGCCACAACAGGGCAGGAGAACGCCGAATGGTGAGGTCGCGCGGGAGTCGCCGGCTTTCAGGAGTTCGGCGCCAACGAGCGCGACGGAAACTACTACCTCGAGTCAACCAACCGTCAGTCCCTCGTTACAAGTGAAACCTGCCTACAGTCCCGCGGGCGTGCTAGCGATGACCGATCCATCCATCAAGGATCTCCCCCTGGGCACGTTCAAGCCGGGCGTCAGCCTGCCGACTTCCACCGCAGCCTATCTAGGCTACAGCCCCGGTCCCATAGACGTGATGGCCAGCTCGCTCATGTCTCAGCATCACGCCGTGCTGAAGAACGGCCTGGTCGCGACGAACCCTTACCTCGGCTACGCGAGACTGAAGAGCGGCGGCGGCGCTGGACCGGCGGACAGCTTGATGCCGGTATGCCGCGATCCCTATTGCACCGGCTGCCAGTTGAACTCGCACCTGCTGTCGAACTCCACGAGCACGGCCGCCAATGGCAAATTGCCGTCAGGCGCGGCTTCCTGTCCGGCCGGGTGCGCCCAGTGCGATCACAAGCCCGGCGCTTCGCCTTACGGGCCGCTCGCCTACGCGCACGCGCAATTAGCCGCGTTAGCCGCGGTCTCGCAGTTACCTTACGTGTGCAACTGGATCGCCGGCGACACCGCCTACTGCGGCAAGAGATTCGCCACGTCGGAGGAGCTGCTGCAACATCTCAGGAGTCACACGAGCGTGTCGACGGCCGGTGGCGCGGTGGCCGATCCCGCGAGCGCGGCCGCCGCCGCGCTCTCTCTGCTGTCGCCCTCGGTCGGATTGCCGCCGACTCATCCCCTGTTCGCCCGAACTTACCCCACGCCGCCCTTGAGTCCGCTCGCGACCGCGCGCTACCATCCGTACGGGAAGCCCTCGCCGCTGATGCCGCCGTCTCTGCCGTCGTTGGGCCTGCCGCTGCCGCCATTGCCGCCGCCGCCGACCGCCGCCGGCCTGCCGGCGTACTTCTCCCCGTATTCTCTCTACGGGCCCCGTCTGGGCGCATCCTCCGGTATGCATCAATGAGTTCTCGCCGAAGGCTGAACTGTGATTTCTCTCTACGAAAATACGTAAGCGTTTTGCGCCGGATGAGATCTCGAGCGCGATCTCAGTGCGACCGAATTCTTTCGCTCGGTTGGTCTTCCGCAAATTTTCTGCAAAGTTTTTCATCTTGTATCGCGAAACTTCACACAGGATTTGAAGAAAAAAAACGCATGTTCAACAACATTCTCTACCTTAGGCGCGAAACCAACTCTACTACGTCTCGATGTTAACGCAAATAGGTTCGTTGTACTGTACATGAAACGCTTTAGCAAATACAACGTTAAAGATAACTCTCAATAGATATCGACTCGTCGAGGGCCCTACTCCCCGAGTACCGCTCTGCGATCGGCGATAAAAAAAGTGCTCTCAAACATCCACGTATGAACAGCCTTTGCTGTTCTCATCAAAATAAATCCCTACCTCAGCTATATATCAATAACCTAACCTTACTTAACCTAATTTAACCTAACCTGTAACATCACCAAAATCGTTGAGGAAAGGTCACATTTCTGTATAACTGGCTCGTGTGGATAATGCCTATCACTTACGAATGCCTATGGATTGCATTCGGAAAGACTAGCCTGATGCATCAAACTATTGGCTACCTTCGCCTGCATAGTCTCTTAGATTCGTAGTTTTCTCATATTTGCCACAAGTGCTGCGGTATATCGAGCCAAGCGACTTTCGAATAACGTTGAACTTGTCGATTAAGGTAGTTGTTCCGCTCGGTAACAAATTTCCCTCATAAATATATTATTTATCGAACAAAACTACTTTTGTATTAATTTAATTCCCTCAGGCCCGGTCTTTCGTTCTCTGGTTAACTTGTGATCTGGTACACTTGATCTGATGATAACGTGAAAATTATGTATTCATGGTTAATTGTTCAATAATTCAATGTTAAATTTTAAAACTTACTACTATAAAACCATCAGAGTTTAATGATTAAATTATAAATAGAGAAACACAATTGTTGCGTTATCATCAGTTTTAATCTAAATCACATGTCCATAAAATGAGAAGTCGGCCTAAATAATAAATATTAATTTGGAGTGAAGTTAAGGCAAATATTTACACGATACTATAAATACGAGAATATTTATTTTCCGTTCTTCTTATTAATGCTTTATATTTATGCATTAATTCGTTTAATAGAGGTAAGTGATAAAAAGAAGTGTTAAATATTTAAATATGTGTGTATATATGTAAGTATCCAAAGGATATAATGAGTGGGAAATGAGTTCATAACTTATAGTAGTATTCATTTACGAGACAACTACCTTAATACGAAGACAACGTGAGGCTGAGAATACGTACGCCCCCGTAAAAAAAAATAAAAAAAAATTAAAAAAACTTAATTTATGCGTAATTACAAACTATCGTCAAGCTAGCAACAGGTTCTTTCATGTATACTTTGGAGCATCGAAAACAATTCGCGTTTAGAATAGGAAACGAAGAATTTTCAATGACAAAAGTCCGCAAAAAGCATTGCATGTCGCAGAGATTAAACTTTAGACTACGTGCAATGTAATTACCGTTATATTCCAATAAGCTCGTTATAGCTGACACGATTTTTATTCGGGCCAAAAATTTATGTAACACGTGAGTGTGAATTTTGATGCTTTACTTGGTATCTGTCCATTTCCTGCGTCCGGCGTACAACTCAGTACCGAATGACGTGTGCCACAGCAAACGTGGTCGAAAAACCAATGTTTAACTGTGATTTCTGAGTGAGAAAGTTGATAAGGAGAGAGAGGGAGAGAGAGAGAGAGATAGAGAGAGAGAGAGAGAGAGAGAGAGAAAAGGAAAGAGAAGAGAGGACGTGCTCCCATGAAAGATTTGTGTGCACGCGCGCGTGTGTGCATGATTAGAATTTATTAACGAACAGCAAAATATGGGAATTTTATTTCAGACGAAAGTAATCGAATAAATAGATATTTTATCAGGAAATTATTCAACGATATGAAGGATTTGCTATGTGCTATTATAAAGATTTTAATCACTCTGCGCAATGATAATACATAAAATTACTTTTATGACAGTACTAAAACATATTTTTATGCGTTTACGTTGAAAGAAAAATAAGATATACACTCCGTGTACCGTTATATGGAATGAAATATACGATTATATTTACAATTATATAAACGAAATACATACGATGGAGTGATGGATAAAATCTGTTATATTAAAAGATCTTGATACTATTTCACTGATACATGCTTTCTAACAGGCAAATATGCACAATGCTCCAATGCTTTATCGCCTGCTTACCATTTAATTAAAATACGATTATTTCAGACCTGAATATGTTTTATTTAAAATCTTTAAAAGCACACAAACAAGATGATTTATGTGTTTTTTCAAAAATATTTAAACACCAAATAAAAAGTGCGGTAAAAATATAAAAACATGTTCTTTTTGTATTATTTTCTTCGAAATTCATATCAGAGTTTTCCGACTGAAGCATACTTCGTTTTTGCGACTGTGGAAAATAATTGATATAATGTAATCATTATACATGTACTATTTATAAATTATATCCATATCCTATATTTCCATTGTAATTATTGTACATTTGTTTATAGACATGTAAGATTAA